GAGGCTGCGCTCAGCCTTGGAGATGGGCTCTGGAGAGCCTAACAAAAAGCCTCCTCTGTCCATTGTGCGCTGCCCAGGGCTTACCTACGGTGTGTGCAATGAGTCCCAAGACAGGAAAAAAAGGGAATTTAAACCACTGTGTTTACACCAGGAAAAAATCCTGGTTGCTGACTTCACTGGGCTGTTTGCCCTCAGAGTTGGTCAGGCACTGGGGAAGCACGGATCCTGATTCACAGGTGTGGTGCAAAGAAGCCTGGAAGGAGGGAAATGCAGACACAGTTGCAGAGGAAAACCTCTGCTTTCACTGGTGTCACGGGCTTTATTTTGGCTGCATCTGTCTCCATGTGGAAGAAAACCCCCTTACAGAAAAAAGGGGTTTTATTGTTTGCTACTTCATCAGGAATTTTAAGAAGTTTTTTAGGAAAAAAAGAAGGGAGGAACAAGCCAACTTAGATGAGAACAGTGAGAGTATCCAAATTAAATTATTGTAGTTATATCAATGTAATTCTTATCAACAATCTGTTTACAGGTGTGTAAGTGGGAAGCTGGTTTCCCTGTGTACAAAGGGCATAACTGCTGCAGATCAGCAGTATCTTCCTAATTTTTTGTCGTAGAATCATAGAATGGTTTGGCTTGGAAGGGACCCCTAGAGGTCACCCAGCCCAACCCCCCTGCAGGGAGCAGGGACACCGCTATCCAGACCAGGTTGCTCACAGCCCCGTCCAACCTGGCCTGGAATGTTCCCAGGGATGGGGCCTCCACTACCTCTCTGGGCAACCCCTGCCAGGGTTTCACCACCCTCAGTGTAAAGAATTTCTTCCTTAGATCCAGTCTAAACCTACCCTGTTTTAGTTTAAAACCATCCCCCCTTGTCCTGGCACAGCTGGCCCTACTAAAAAGATTGTCCCCATCTTTCCTATGGGCCCCCTTTAAGCCCTGAACGGGCGCAATCATCTCTGCCCGCAGCCTTCTCTTCTCCAGGCTGAACAACCCCAACTCCCTCAGCCTATCCTTGTAGGAGAGGTGCTCCAGCCCTCAGATCATTTTTGTAGCCCTCCTCTGGCCCCACTCCATTACACTGATAACCATGTCTGGCCAGCCCAGGTCCCCTCCCTGCATCACCCTGACTAAATAATCTTTTTTGTTTTCCTGTGTCTGTGCACACGGCAGTGGTTATCAAGCCAGGGGTCCCCTCCCTGCATCACCCTGACTAAATAATCATCTTTTTTGTTTTCCTGTGTCTGTGCGCACGGCAGTGGTTATCAAGCCAGATGCTGCTGCTGTGGGCACATGTACCACTGCAGTGAGGAGTTTTCTGAGTGCACTCTTTCGTCTGAGGTCAGTAATAGGAAGATTATCTTCTGTGCCAGAATTGCGCTGGTTACTCCCAGCATGAATTTTAGAGTTTTATCTAAATTCTTCAAAAGCAAGAAGTGACTTTGGTTCTCTGGGTTCCTCTATCCCTTGGTATCCAAAGGGGCCTCACTTTCACAGTAGGCATTTAGTATTGGCCATCGTGTCAAAGTGAAAATAGTTACTCATTTCTTTCAGAAATGTTTGGCCGTGTTGTTCCTGGATCTTCTCTGAGTATTTTTTGCTTTTAATGTTTAAGGACTTACCGAGCATCTTAAATAATCTACAAGTGAACTATGCTGTGGACTGCTTTTCCCCTCCTGCTCACGAATGCCGATGGGGTGCATTGAGAGACGGATAACGAGTCTGCCCAATGCCGGATATTTGCCATGTTCCTGTCTCTTACATGCGGAAGAAAATGCTCTGCTGCTTTCTGCTGAGCTCAAAGAAGTAGCCTGAATGCTGAGTATGTGCCGGTAATGTTTGGAGAGGCTCCTGAGGGAACAAAGTATGTTGTTTCTCCCATCTCCTGAAGTCGTCTCCTGGTATTTGAGGGTTAATCCAGGGTGTCCCAGAGTTGTAGAACAACTACTTTTAGCCTTTAAAGTTTTAAACTTTAAAATAACAGAAGATCAGACGAGATTACATGGTCCCTCTTGAGGTGACAATTGACCTCCAAGGCTGGGTGGGGAGGAACACGCAACAGAGAGGTGTGGGGAGGATCAGCCTTCAAAATCTTTTTAGGCTTCCCTTTAATGAAGCTTGTTCATATAGTGCTATGGTAACCTGCGGGTAGGTTGGTGGAGAAATCCCCTGCAGGATTTCCTGGCTTCATTTGAAGTCCAGCTGGTTCCTGCCAGCTCTGAATGAAATGGGTGGTACGCAGAGACAGGCTTGCCAAAGTTTCTGTACTGGTTATAGCTCTGTGCCCTTCATGGAGAGCTGCCCTTTGCCTGTGCATTTATTTGAAGTGATGGAGAGGACCCAAGGAAGCCCAGCTCCTGGTGCCTCGGCATGCAGGTCTGTATACAGATTGGTGGAGCGAGATGTTTCAGGAAGTGGTTGATGGCTTGGGGCTGGGGGATTTCCTTAGAGCTTGTTGGCGGGTGCTCTGGGGTCAGGGACTTCTTTTTATCTTTTCCCAAGCTCCCAGCCTTGGTGAAGGGCCAGCAAGTAATTGCCTTGAGGACGGCCCTTGCCTCTCATTTATTTCACATTCTTGTGCCTCTCCGTCAAGTTTGCAGGCTGGTCTAAAAACAGCTGCGTAAATGGTTTTGGTGGAGTCATTAAAACCTGCTACACAAGAGCGAGGCAGAAGAGGGAGGAATGTTTTATTTTTTGGCTTGGGGTTGCTTAATTTTTACTGGAAGAATGGTCCTTTTCAAGGCAGCTTCAAGCAGCACGGATTGAGCATCGTTTCCAGCGTTGATCCTATAGCAACAGCCGAGAGACAGCTCCTATGAACTTGGACTTACAGCTCTGGGAAATGAAGCAGCATTTAATTTGCCCTTGACTGTGCTTGATATTTGATCTGACTCTAGTAAAGTGTTTTTAGCTCTGGAGAGGAATGGAACTCCTCAAAGTGTTCAACGATCACTCTGAAACACCCTTGGAGCCACAGGCATCAGGGATATATAAAGACTGACGGTCGAAAGAGGCTTCTTGGCCATTCCTGATGCTGCTGTTAGCAAAGCGGGTAATTTGGGTGTGAGTGTTCCCGCGTGAGGTGGCTGCCCTGGGTAGGAAGGGAGGCTTCTGAAGATGTCACCAGTATCTCTCTAGCTGCCATGCTGAGGTGAGAGCTGCTGTCGCCCCGTTCTGCGGCTGCATGATGTTGCCTTTTCTGTCGGTGTGCTGGGGTGGTGCAGGGTGTGTAGCCCCATTCCTAGGACCGCAGGTACCAGCTCCATCGCTGCCACGCTGAGAGATTTTCTCCGGCATGGCTGGCACCAGTCCTGAGCTAATTGGCAACGTGGCTGAAGTGGTAAGACTGTTAACCTTAGTTTCAGCTGTCAAATCCCTTATCAGCTGCTTTTAAAATACGATCTTTGTGGAGCTGAAACTGAGGCAGGCTGCCTGGGAGAGATCTGTGGACTTACTCCAGAGGCTTTTGCTTGGCTTTTTTACACCGCAGAAAGTGTAAACAGGAACAGCCTACTCAAAGCAAAACAAATTTTGCACAAAAGCTAAAGCTGGTGCCAGCTTTTTGTGCACTTCTTGCTTTGTGCTGTCTGCAGTCAGGTGTCTCGGGCACAGGCAGGGCAATGCTAACAAGTAGCCTGAAAGCTTTGCATTTTACAGCTTTGTGTTCTGCAATGGTCTTCCAGAGGACAGAACAGCTCGGTGGATGGAGGATGGGTGTTGAGAGGTGAGGAGAGTGAATCCATCCCTTCTCTCTGCTGGGAGAGTCACTTGATCTCTCTGTGCTCCTATTTCAACGTGCAACCTTTTATTTCTTTGTTGGGATGCTCTGAGGAGGCAAAGGGTCTTTCAGGCAGTGAGATTATAGAACATTGTGTCATTGAGAGGCTGGAAATGTACCCGTGGATGACACACCAGCTGCCTGCCCTCTCTTCCAAAAACTGCCACATGTTTTTTTGACAGTAGGATTTCAAGTCCCACGATTTGTTTCTGAGCTTGGTGTGAGGAAAAGATGATGGCCTGCCATGGAAAATGCACCTGATGCTGCGGGTAGGTAGAAAATCTGGCTTTTAGCTAGTCACCTTTTCACTGCAGAGATTTGTAGGGGATGAAACTGAAAGTACCTCTGCAATGAGACCACAGCCAAATTTTGAGTGACTGTGTGCTAGCTACAGCACAGCGTGCGTTCTTAGGTTAGGCTTTGCCCTGAGCCCAAACCACTGGGTAAAAACCCGGCTATTTGTAGAAAGTGAACAAATGGTTACCATCGCTGCATTATTTGGAGAGTGCTTTGAGTTCATGTACAGAATTGCCTGAATAGGCTTTGTGGGGGCTGGGAGGATTTTTAGCGTTTGTTGGCTTAGTCCTAATACTGGCATGGCTGCAGGGTAGGGAGGTTTTGTGAGCGCTCCCTGAAAACACTGAGGACCCAGTGGCTTTGCTTCTGAGAGCTGAGCTGAAAATGTATGTAATGAATAGGAAAGTAATGAATAGGAAGGGATCAGACGGAAAGCTGATTCTGCACAAACTGTTTTGTGGTTTAATGCTACTGGTAAGTTCTCCAGTACAAAGCCCTGGTTTAAAAACAAACAAACAAAAAACCCCACAATGCCCATGAACAGAGTTGGGAAAATAGAATTTAAAATACCAATAGCAGGCTGCAGTGAAGAGTTTGTCTTGTCTGTTGGCTAACCCTGACCTATCTGAACTATTGTCCCTTGTCATGACCAACCCTCATTGCTTATGAGCTCTCTGCAAACACACGCCAGGCACTGATTTCTGGTGCTTTGAGTGAGAGAAGAGAGATGGTTATTGTTCCTCTCCTCAGTTCAATGACTAGTGAAGTGGTTCCTGTGTATAAATAGCATAAAGTGCTCTGGGATCCTTCGGGATAAAGGAGGCCTTATGAGATACAAGAGGATGTTGTTTGACGCAGAAGGAGTTCCCGTTGGTTGCGCAGCACGCGCCGGTCTCTGGCCTGCCTTCCAGCTCTTGATCGGGACTGGGTGCTTGGAGGGGCCATGTGCTTCCCTGGTTATCCTCTCCTGGGGGCAGCAGATGGGGGCTTTCTGCTCTTAGGATGTGGCTGGCTGCGTGTTTTGTTAGGACCAGAAAGCCCTCTGGAAAGGTTTTTTGTTTGCTTTGTAGTGGAACAGTGCTAGAGTGCAGACACAGGCAATCCCAGGCACGCTTGATCACTTTTTTTGTTCTCTCTCGTGCTTTCTTTTTCTTAACGGTTGCGAAATTTGTTTTATGCTAAGGTTCCTTCTATCCTCGAGGATCCCGAAGCCAGCCATCACCTCGCCCAGGTTTGACTAACCCCCTCATAAAAGACTTAATTTGCAGGTGTGTGTGTGGTGCTGAACATGTAAATCCTTGCTGAGTTTGAAATTTATGCTCTTTGTTATTTATGCTTCAGTAAGTCCCTCCCCTGGGGAGTAAACAGTCTCCAAAAAATAAGGGAAAGGGCTAAGTGCTCTTCTGAGAGACAGCTCTTGTCTCAAAGAGCAGGCGGCTCCTCAGGTGTATTAGCCACGTAATTCCTTGCTGGATACCTGACTCTCATCAAAACTAGGAGGAGTTAAGGACCTACACCTCTCTTGAGGGGTGTATTCAAAACAAGGCAGCTTGAGCCAGGGTAGAAGAAAGGATGGATTTGGCAAGCGTGACAGCAGGACTGTGATGCGCCTGTGGAGATGATGCCTAGATCCAGAAGGTGCTGAGGTGAGATCTTCCCAAACTCCCAGGATGGAATCTTGCTTATCCTCTCTAAGTTCTTGAGAAAGGTGCTCTCCCAGAGGTAGGGCCAAGCAGGGTCTGCCAAAGATGGCCAAGAGATCTTCTTTTTGGATGTAGGTGGCCTTCCAAGTTGTCTCCACTTCTCCCAGAACCACTGTGTGCATTCCTGGTAGGAGCAGGTGATGTGGCTGGAAAACATGGCTTACTTTTCAGCAGCCCTTAAAAGGCTTGGTGTGAGAACCTTTTGTGCTGTGCTGTACACTCAAGGAAGAGGACTCCATGCCCTCAGGAGCATGTAATCAGTTTAGACAATAGGCAGAAGGAGATAAAGGCAGTTTCCAAGCTGTGGTCTGGGGAATCCCATTCGGCAGTGCCAAATGAGTTCAGCTTCCATGTGAAGGGTCAGGGAGGAGGGTTTTGGACCAAAATCTGTTCTGTGTGCTTGCCCTTCCTGCCTTCCCCCCCCAAGTATAAATGACAATTCCTGAGAAGGAGCTTCTTTGCCTCACTGGATGTCTGGCTCGTGTTTTGCCTTCTCCCCAACCCTAGAGGCACAAGTACTTTGACGTTCCAGCATGTTCCAACATGCTGAGATGGAAAGCAAACGGTCAGCTTTGCATCCTGGGTCGGCTTTCTCTTCTGAAAAGGCAGGAGTGTGGGAGCAGTATGAAGCAGATGGATAAATGGTAGGGCACAAGGGCTGCTCGAGGAGAGTTCGGGCCCAGCCTCGGGACTGAGGATGCTTCAGAGCTCTTGCTTGCTTTGCAGGTGACCACGTTGCCTGTACCTTCCTTCCACTCCCTAGTTCCTCAGAAATCTCCCTTGTCTGTTCTTTAATTAATGATTCCAGGACTTTGTCCTGCATCTCAATAGCTCAGGTGCTGGGATTTCTACTGTTTTCTCAAGAGATGTTTTTGTGGTCTAGAGGCTGCATAGTAATAAGTTCCTAGCACTTACCAGAGCATTCCTTTTCATAGGGAATGGAAGCAGGGGTAATCCAAGCTGATAATAAATGAAGGTGTGTCACCCATACTATGCTAGGTAAAGGCCTGCAGGAACCTCCCCTTGAAGATAATAGGAAGTTAAAATGGTTATGAATTGTGTTAAATTTGATCTGCTAATAAAAAGAAACTTTTTTTCTCTTCCCGGGTGGTTTGCAAACACCCTGTTATCCCACCCAGGCAAGTCAGGAAGTATTACTGCTTCCGTATCCCGGTAAGGACAATAGATAAGAGTTTAAGCCTTAGGCTGTGAATTAAGTTAGTGTGTCAGGGTGTAGATCAAAGGATCGTTAATTCACTATCCAAAGGGACAGGTTAGGGAGGAAGAATGGCTGTTCTCTTCCCCTCTCCATCCTGCTGCCTGCAATGCCAATGGAAACGGATTGCAGGGAGAATCGAACCTGCCTGCTGTGGGATGAGGGTGAGATGGCTGAGGATGTGGCAGTAAAAAAGATTGCAAAAAGTTTGGGACCCCCTATCTTAGAAAAGCAGGGGACAGAGGGGATGCTGGAGGCCATTTTCCAGTACAGCAGCCTTATGCAGCCTAGCTGCCTCCACAGAAATGACGAGCTGAGGGACGACATGCCAAGGTTAGAGGGACGGGGTGCCAGCAAGGGCCCTCAGCCTGTTGCTCTGCGATCTGCTGGGTACCCTGGAGCACACTTCAAGTCTTACAGAGATGAGCTGTAGGGGCTCCTGAAGTAATAGAAGCCAACAGGGAAACACCGGTGATATACCTCAAAGGAATTAAGGTGTGTTCCTCTAAAAAGGTGACACAGCCAACAACCCAGCTGAAGCGCCTGCACACCAATGCATGCAGGATGGGCAACAAACAGGAGGAGTTGGAAGCCACCGTGCTGCTAGAAAGCAATGACCTACTTGCTATTACTGAAACTTGGTGGGGCGAATCCCATGACGAGCACTGGTATTGATGACTACAGGCTGTTCAGAAGGGACAGGCAAGGAAGGAGGGCTGGGGGGGTTGCCCTCTATGTCAAGAAATGGATAGATTGTGAAGAGCTGTCTCTGAAGAATAGCCATGAGCCGGTTGAAAGCTTATGAAAGAATTAGAGACGGAGCCAACAAAGGGAACCTTGTGGTCGGTGTCTACTACAGGCCATCTGATCAAGGAGAGCCTCATCCCTCCCACTGTAAGAGAAGATCAGGTTCGAGGCCAACTGAGAAACCTGAATATGCCTAAGTCTGTGGGCCTGACGAGATGCATCCCAGGGTCCTGAGAGAATTGACTGATGTAGTTGCCAAACCACTTTCCATGATATTCAAAAAGTCATGACAGTCAGGTGAAGTCCCTGGTGACTGGGAAAAGGGAAACATGACATCCATTTTTTAAAAAGGATTGAAAGGAGGACCCTGGGAACTAGCAATCTGTCAGCCTCACCTCTGTGCCTGGGAAGATCATGGAAGAGATCCTTCTAGGAGCTGTGTTAAGGCACATGGAGGACAGCTGGGGAATGAAGGGATTGAGAGCAGCTCTATGGAAAAGGACTTGGAGGTACTGATGGATGAAAAGCTGGACACGACCCAGCAATGTGCACTTGCAGGCCAGAAAGTCAACCGTATCCTGGGCTGCATCAAAAGAAGCGTGGCCAGCAGGTCAAGGGAGGTGATTCTGCCCCTCTGCTCTGGTGAGACCCCATGTGGAGTACGGCATCCAGCTCTGGAGTCCTCGGTACAAGAAAGACATGGACCTGTTGGAGTGAGTCCAGAGGAGGCCACAAAAATGATCAGGGAGGAAAGGCTGAGAGAGCTGGAGTTGTTTAGCCTGGAGAAGAGAAGGCCCTAGGGAGACCTTATTGTGGCCTTTCAATACCTTAATGGGTCTTACAAGAAAGATGGGGACAGACTTTTTAGTAGGGCCTGTAGATCGAACAAGGGGGTAATGGTTTTAAACTAAAAGAGGGTAGATTCAGTCTAGGTATAAGGAACACATTTTTTACAATGAGGGTGGTGGAACACTGACATGGGTTGCCCAGAGAGGTGGTAGATGCCCCATCCCTGGAAACATTCAAAGTCAGGTTGGACAGGGCTCTGAGCAACCTGATCTAGTTGAAGATGTCCCTGCTCGTTGCAGGGGGTTTGGACTAGGTGACCTTGAAAGGTTCCTTCCAACCCAAAACATTCTATGACTCTGTGATAAGTGTAATAAGTTGTAGAGAAACAACTCCTGTTAAGTTTGAAGGCAACCTCCTGTGGCTTCTTGCTTATCTGAGGGAGGTACTGTGCATTGACACGGGGAGGTTGAAGCTTTGCTCTAGGAGGACTGGCAGGGGCAGATGAGCTCAGGAGAGCTGTTTTCCAGCAAAGCTTGCTGTGGTGCTTAGGGACCTGTGTCTTGACTGTGCTTCAGCAGGGGTAGAGGCTGGAGAAAACAGGGACTTCCTAGCATGCTTTTTCCCTGCAGGGGCCCTGCTCTGGCTCGTGCTCTGTATCCTGGGGCTCGTAAGTCTGGGAGCAGAGGATGGACATACGCAATGAGTTCTGGTACCGTGTGCCCACCTCATTCCTCTTCCTGGGCAGTTCCCGTGGGGGGCTAGGAGCAATGATCACTGTGAGGCACTGACACCAGCTAGGGCTTCACAGTGCACAGAAGGGTCTTCTTCCTGAGCTTTCTCATGGAGTTACTTCTGGGCCTTTTGCACCAGAATGAGCTGTCGTTGTTGTGTGTACACAGCCTTGACAGGCAGAAATGATAGCAGCATTTACAGGATGCAGCAGTGAGAATAAACCTCTTCTGACAGCTTCCTCCCATCAGAAGGTCTTCACACTCCCCACTGCTGCAGTTTGGCTCTCCCCTGTTATCCAGTGCATGCTTTGCAGTTTAATCAAATGGAGTCATTAGGTGTATTCTTGAAATCACGTGTTTTCTGTTAAAAGGAGGGCTTGATGGTGAAGCATATTACCAAATATTGATCCCCAGAATAACCTTTGACATAGTTCATGATTCTCTGCACCTCTCTTTTCTTTTTCAGATTTCTGCTTTCCTGAATCCATCAGAGGACCAGAGCCAGCAAGCAGAAAGAGGGTGGAAGAAAGCATTTGAAGAGGACTGAACACTTGCACTGGTGCTGTGAGCTGCTTTGGTTGTGAAAGGTCAGTGTCAAGACTGTTGACCCATGCTGGCTATTGGTTTGGGGTGGATAATGGCACTTGGTAGTTGTGTAAATCAGAGCTCTTCACCTGCAAGCTTTGGAGTGCTTCTCCTGCGAAGGCTTTACCTAATGACTTCTGGCTGCTTTCTGGGCTGCATGAGATGTGCTGGCAAGTCGATAAGCAGCTGGGGGCCTTTTTTGAGGATGTTCAGTGGGGGAGGTAAAGCGACATTGATAATATTTTCATCTTGGAGAGGGAGCTTAGAGAGGTCATGCTTTAAAGGCTAGAGCTTAGCCTTGCTGGAAAATGAGGTGTTCAGTCAGTTTGCTGAAGATAATAGGTTATTGGCCCACACCTGCTTTGTACATACCAAAGGGAGGACGTCTGCTTTGCTTGCTAAGAGCTGCCTCAGGGCCAGGGTTATCTAGCCCAGCTCAGATAGACTCCAGCACAGCCAAACCTTGCCCTCAAGGCCAGCAGCATGCCCACGAGGTGTGTGAGGTGGCTGTATGGGCAGGGGGCTGACGATGTTGGACTTGCAGCCCTTCAGGAGCTGCACTTTCGTAGCAGCACAGGTGCTGCTATGCACTTTCATAACAGCACAGGGATTTCCTGCAGCAAGTCTTTCTTGTGTGTGTTGGCAAAGATGTTAGAAGTTACCTAACTTCTGGCATACAAGTTATCTATGAAATAGATGTCACTGATGCGTTGGATACCAATTTTCTTGCTGTCATTCAAAAATCAATACTTAAAAATAATGATGCTTTTAATGGCCTGGGAGCTATTTAATTTGCTTTGGCATTGTTTCTTCCCCATCCATCAGATGCTGCTTTAAGGCAGATTGTGCAGAAAAAGCCTGCAGGCCTGGCTTTCTTTGCTGTTTAATTAAGTACTGTTACTGTGCAAGTTGAGGCAAACTTACCAAGCAACGTCTGTGATGACTAAGTGAATAGGTCTAGCCAGCAGGAGTGTGTGTGTGTATGCGTGCCACGTGCTTGCTGAGCTGGTATGTGGATACGTGCCTGTATGTGCCTTTGGGCCTGCACATAAAAATACAGTGGTCTGATGTGGGGATAACCTGAGCAAGTCCTGCCATTGAGACTTTAGGTGGCTCAGCACAACAACATAACTGTGCAGTGCTTGTGTTCCCAGGTGCTCAGCACCCGGAACCGGAGCCAAACTGCTCAACTTTTGGTGCGTTCCTGTCGTGTGGTTTGTCCTAAGGGTTCAGTCTCAGTAGGATGAGAACCCAAAGAAATCAGGCCATGGAATGGTTTCACTTTTGAAGTGACTCCTGCCTTGCCTGATGGTAACGCACTGTGTGTTCTTACCTAGCTGGGAGGTTGTGGCTTGCAGTCAGACAGGGCAGGATGAGCTCACTCTCTTTTTCTTTTTTGTTTTTAAGATGTTTGTATAGGTGGCTCATCCTTTCCTCCTTGTAGGTGTTTCACTATTACTCCATTCCCTTGTACTTCACTACTAGCATCTTGTAATCTTTGATGTATTTGAGCCAGCATGCCTTGTAAATGGTTGCCAAAATCCCTTTACCAGACAGTCCTCTCATTACAAGAATGGATTTTACTAACCCCAGAAGAGGTTGTTCCAGTTCACTGGCCAAAGTAGCCTATATTGGCAAAAGCACTTTTAAAGCAGTGGAACTGTATTGCTTGTAGGGCTTTTGCCAGTACACCGGTTACCTGGAGCCTGTCATGCTTTGCAGCTGGCATTCCTCTGTCAGCAGGGGTTCTCAGGTTTAGAGAAAGGTGAGGGTTCTGTACTAGGGAGGAAGACCAGAGGCAAGGGACAGACTAAGGGACTTGCCCAAGGCCACACACAAAGTCTGTGTCAGAGTGGAGAATTGGATTCAACCTGTTCAACTCCCAGTTTCCTGAATCAATATTCAAACTCTTACCCCTCCCTTCCATGTGCAGGTTCTATCACACTGTTTGTCCTTGTTTTTTCCTCCCACCTTTGTGCATTTTGTTTTAGTTAGAGCATTATTTTTCCTTGTCACTTACATTGCAGTGTATGGGGGCATAGTAGGAACCTGTTGTTGATTTCTGGCGAATTACATAAAAATACCTCTTTTCATTGTATGACTAAATTTTATGGCCCATGCTTGCTTGCTTAAATTTAACTTGCTGATGAAGCTACTGTCTAATGGACTGGACCAAGTGAACTTCATTATGGAAGTGGTGGAATATGTTTTTATGCATTTATAAATACACCGCTGTGGCATAGCTCACCATTTTCTGTCCACTGGAGGGCTCGTTCATAATTGCCAATGTGATTCAGAATGGACTTTTGTCTCAGTGTTTTAAAATAGAATATAACCGTGTGTGTTAATTGATGTTGCTTCTTCTTTCAAGAAGTTTCTGGTTTCAAGAGTGATTTGTGTCACTTCTGAGGTCTGTTATAAAGATGACTGAAGCCAAGAGACCCTGGTCATGTCAGTGAATTCAGGATGAGGGCCCCTATGTTTATCCCAGTGCTGTGGTGCAGAGCAACACCTCTGTGCTTTTTGGGACCACGGGGCTCAGAGCCTGAAGTCACCCTTAGCCTGCGAGGCAGGTGGTGGCTCACCTCTCCACTGCCTGGGCTCTTTGGGAAAGGCATTTCATCAGCGTCTCCTGCCCTCACTTGCTTTCCCTGAAGACCAGCGTCGCTCCTTAAAGCCTGACCCAGTCTTTGCAGGCGACAGGAGGTGGCAGGCCACCGTGTGTGACGCAAGGAGCGCAAACACATGACTTCCAAAAAGAGCTGCCTTTCCCTGAATAGCTGGCTGGGTGAGTCATTAAGCATGCAGAGGCAGCCGGTGCCATCAGCTCTGCTCCTGGCTAGGAAGGATAGATCAAACAGGAGACAGCCCTGATTGCTTTCTGATTCATGGCCTGCCATCCCTGCGTGAATCACAGTGCTTTATAAACCTGCAGCTGTTCCCTGCCAGCTTTCTGGAGACAGACAGATCCTTTCCTCCCAGCGGCGAAGCTGAGCCGCCTGAAAGGCCTGTACGTGGCGCTCGGTGGAGCAGGACCTGCCATCTTGAGGGGAGCTTCAGACTGTCTGTCAGCTGAGTTCAAGTACGGTCTTGGCTGTGTGTCTTCCCAGTCTTCACCCAGAACAAGATGGAGCTTGGTCTGGGATTTATGAGCTCTCAGATCAGGAGAGACAAGTTAGCATCCCTCACTAGGGCCCAGCACCTGCTGTATGGTGGCATGTGGAAATACCTGTAGTGGCTTTTTTTGGGCAGGGGGCATACTTTGAGGGGAAGAGGGAAAGGTTCCTGAAATTCTCTGGAGCAAGAAGGGAACTGGGCCAAGGAGCCAGCCCAAGGACAGTAAGCGTTGTTACTGTCCCCTGGCTATCAGTGATGTGAACCAGGGTCTGTATCAGCAAACCTGCAGTACATTTTCCTTTACCTACAGCCCTGATGTTAGAACGTGTGGGCAAAAAGCCAAGCAACAGCCCTTAGAGTCTGTAAGTGGAGGCCATCTCTTGGGTCTGGGCTGAGGTACCTGTTTTGGGTTGTGCAGGCGTGTGTGGCTGCAGGAGCCTGCCTTGCTGCTGCCATTCCTCTTCTGTGGCTAAGTGAAGCCTCTAGGAGCTGTAAATCTGTCACCTTCCATGAAAGTTGTGTTCACAGGGCGCCTTCTCACTGAGAATTTACAAGTCTGTTCAGTGCATTCGGTACCACCAGCATACATTCTTCCCCACTGCCCTGGGCCTTTTTGTGCTGCAACATGGTAATTAATTTGAGCATTGCTGGAGGTTCTGATCTCTTCTGAAGATAACTCTGAAGAGTTGTTCTCCTTGATATATGCTGAGAGCTCAGAGCTGCTCCTTTTGCTGGTGAAACAGCCTTCTGCTGCCAACTGTTGTTGCCAGATGTTATTCTACAGAAAAATGTTTTCTTGTGAAATGGTGATGGGCGCAGGCATGGGTGGGACTGCTGGTATGTTCTCACCCTATTAACTTCATTTATTGGTTTCTAAAGCACAGGCCTGGCTGGGGGTTTCGAGTGGGCTGGCGTGAAGCAAAAGGAAACAGTTCCCTGCAAATAAAATACAATTATGCTGCAGAATGGGCAGCTGCTGTTCCCAGCCTTGCTTAGCAATGTAGTGGCAAAGATAATACTGGCTGACTGACCCAACCTGATGGCCACTTGATGTGCAGCCTGGCTGTGTGTACCCATTGCTTGTTTTCTTTACTTTCAGGTGTTTTGCAGTGGGCTGGCCAAGGTAGGTGAGTGTCTGTACCGCATGGCTGGCTTGCAGCTGCAAGTGGATCCCCAGAGGAAACTCACATCACTTGTAGGAAGACGTTTTGTAATCTAAGCTAGCATGAACCCCGTGCCTCTGGAAAAGGAGAGAGGCTGTTTGCCTGCCTGCGTCCAGGGAAATTGCTGCTTTAGGAAATCATGTTGCCGTGGTATGGATGCAAGATTTTTGTATCATTCCCTGCTGGCTGGTAGGGGAGGAAAGGGATGTTTTTTTAACTGAATGCAGGAGAGGTGGTGTGGATTTGGCTGCACTTCTGCAAACTGCCTTGCAGAGATGATGCTGGCCAGTGATGCTCTGGGCGGTACCTTTGTCCCCTCTGCCTGGTCAGGCAGTGGTAGCAATATTTTTTTTGAGAGGTTCAGACCTTCTGGCATCAACAGGAGGTGGTGAGGTGACATGGAGCTGCATGTGCTGCAGACCTACTTCTGAGAAACCTGCTCGAGAGTGTAGCAGATCTGTACCACTGCACTGGCACTGACCCACAACGAACTCCCATTTGTTATGTATCCGCAGTGGTGTTTTGCGCTGTCAGATCATCTGAAGCCAATGGTTATGTTTCTTCCTCGAGAAGCTGGGGCAGCTGCCCTAGAAGACAGCTGACCAGTGAGAAGGGCTATGAGAAATAATCAGAGTGAAGCAGAAAACCAGTTACTCCAACATACTTACTGCTGGGGTTCAAAAAGGGTAGGGCATTTGAGTGGATAACAAGTGCATTCCCAGCTACAGTTGTAAAGATTAAAAATACCCCAAAGTTAGAGAGGGATCTATTTAAGGCAGTTGTGACTAATGCCAGTGAGGAAAGAATATTCTTTGGAGACAGATTATTCTGTAAATGTCAAAGAGAGAGGCTTCTGTCACCACCTTCAGAAGCAGCAGTTAACAGGCTGCAGTCAGGAGCCAGATACTGGGGTTTTCAGGGTAACAGGTCTGGGATTTCATTTATTTCAGTTCAAATAGGAAGAAGTGAGCATGAACTATACTGAAGTTTCTTCACCATAACACTGATCACAATTCATGGTTTTGGCTTGACTGCTCGCGCAACGGTAGGTCTGATCCCTCCACTGCAAGTATTGATCTAAAGGAAAATGAGTCTCCAGAAGTGACAGCAGGATGGGAAGAGAGAAGGAGGATGAAGGCAGTATAGGAAGGCCACATGCTGGTGCCATCTGTCTCCCTTTCACACTGTGCGAGGTCTCATGCTGTGTAGGTCACCCGAATGGCTACAAGAGCTCTTTAAGCAAGCACTGGCTAGCATCCCTGAAGTCAGTTGAATGGCTTACTCTTCCTGGCCTCTTGCAGGAGGAGAGTAGTAATGCCGACCTCTTGGCAGAAGGGTTGTGATGACTGATTGACTCAAGCTTTTCTGATTTTTTTTTTTTTTTCCCCAGGAACTTGCTGAGCCAGAAAGATGCGTGAGTATACAGAAAAGAAGGAAACATGTGGGACCATCTGTCTCAAGTACCTGCTCTTCATCTTCAACTTCTTTTTCTGGGTAAGAAACTTGAGTCTGTTTCAAAGGCACTGAGATGGCACTGCAGTTTTGGTGTCAGGGGCGCCGAAATCTTGATCTTGATGAACTCTTTGGCAAAAGGTGCTCATGTTGGTAGGACACAGATTTCATCTTGTGGGGTGAAATCCTATCCCTTGGGCTTGCCTGTCCAGGCTGCAGAAGTTATGGTCTGACACTGTAGTCTCTGGCTCTTTCTAGGTCATGTTACCAAGTATAGAAAATAACAGGGAGTCTGAAGATATGCTTAGTTTTTTCAGCTGGCTTGCTTTTTCAGGGAGTCTGAGGGCTCCACTGTCTTACCATTCCTCCTCTCAAAATGTCAGAGGAAGTCCTGGCAGTGGAATGGGACAGCTAGAGCAAGGATAACAAACACCTTCTTGCAGCTGGGTCCACACTAGAGCTTCCTAGAGTGGTGCTTTGCACCAGAAAGTTACTGATGCCAAAGGATTCGTTTTTAACTTTTCTGTCTGGGACAGAGCATTGGAGTGTCTAGGTCAGACCTTTAAGGAAAACTGTCTGAGCTGCATAAAACCCTCCAGAAACACAACACTTGCAAAGAGAGAAGGTACTGACAGGATTCTTCTCCATGTTAATTTGCTGCAAGCATTAGAGTTTAACCAGCCAGGCTGTTAAGCTCCTTGACTGCTTTTTCCCCAGATACATAGTCTAGGAAGGAGATACTGGGCATGGTTGTCATTTACTGGTAGTATTGATACCTGACAGGCAGTGGAAAACTTGCTCATGTAAAGCTGTTTTCTTCCCCTCTGCTGCTAGGCAGCACCCAGTAGATTTGGCATTTTTTCGTATTTGCCCAGATAACAGTGTGGCCACATTTGGGAAGGCTCTGGTCCAAGTATGAATTGCTGTGCACAGGTAGATGCTTCAGTTAGCTTGTATCTCAGGCTGCCTGGGGTGCTAACCTGGCTGCCTTAAAGCCCAGCCCCTCCCAGTGCACTGCTCCTGGTCCCGGTGAGACCTCTGGGGAGTCCTCCTGTTAGTGTAGATCATCTTTGGCTCAGCTTACAGAGCTGAAGCACGTCCTGGTAGCCCAGTCCAGTTGCTCTGGGAGATGAGGAAGTTCATGCATCAGATACCCTTCATTTGCTTGCTTTTTTCTACTCAGCTGGCTGGCGGGGCTGTGATGGCGGTGGGCACTTGGACCCTAGCTGAGAAGAGTGACTACATCAGCCTGCTCTCCTCCAGCACGTATTCGGCAACTGCGTATATTCTGGTGGTGGCTGGGGTGGTTGTCATGGGAAAGTTTTGCTTGGTTGTTTTGTTTGGGGGAGGATTCACCCCGTTTTCTCTTGAAACATGCTGGCAGGGAGGGAAGCATCTTCGTTGTGTTATGCACCAACCTTAGTTGTTTGTTCTAGAGAAAATACCACTCCAGCTCCTAACAGCAGTGCCGCCCTTGTCCTAGGGGCAGGTTCTACTACAGAGCATTTCCTTTCATCCACCCAAAGAATGTGCTCACCACTGCATGGTTCAAAAGTACAAAGTATAATCATCGTACCTATACTTTGTGTAAGAATGTCTATTTGAAACTATTCAAAACAAAATCTTGTGGCTTTTGTTTCTTCCTTCTTCCCTACCCATCCCATATTCTCTTTTGGAAAACGCAAAGAGACAGGAAAATACGGGAGACCTGTAACAAAACTGGCTTTTAATGACAGTCGGTTCAAGCCAATTTAATATGCTTTTTCACTTGGTTGTCAAAAATCAGAACATTTCCAATGGATATTTTCTTCAGTTGCAAAAAAATTATTTTAGTTTTGCTTCCACAAAAAAAGCCGCACTGTTTTGATAATCTGCTGCTGCTTTTATGCCTTTCCCTGTGTTACTTCCTGAGCTCCCTGCTCATCGACCTACACTGAAGTTTTTGACCAGACCTAGGGTTTCTATTCCACTTCCTCCCTCTCAAATCTCCCTTTCAGTCTGGAGTGTGGCAGCAGTCATTTTTAGTATCTGGGCTACAGAGGTGAATACAGTAACTGAAACAACAATCGGTGGCTCTTTGCTTTCACATTTACAGGAAAGGATACTTGAGCAACTCTTCACCAGCTCCTTCCTTTGCAAGTCCTCATTTACCTGACTGCCCCATTTCCCCTCTTTCCTTTGGATAGAGGAGGAGAAATAGGAGTCGTGAGCAAGCCTGGTGCTTGTACGACTGCTTTGAAGGCCTGGTAATCCCTGTGAGAGGCAAAGTAGGGCCAGGAAGGGAGCACACAGTGCTGGTGCTTGTTCATTAGGCTCCTGGTCTGTAGCAGTCCATTTTGGCCTCGCTTCACTTACTCTCCATGCCAAAGAGATCTCCCTTTGTCTTTTTGCCTCAGCCAGAAGTGCAGATGAAAATCCGGTGGGGTTTTCTTTGTTATTGTGCCACAGAAAACTAATAATTGTCTCTTGGGAACAAAAGGTCACTCTGTCTCCTTACACCAAGCGTCCTTTCGGAGTGGCTGGTCGCGACAGGCCTATTGTCTCTTCTTGCTTGTGCTCTGCTGTGGTTGCTGGTGAGTAATCTGCACAAGGGATCGGGCTGTGCTTGCCAGGGCTGGGTGAGCCTGTTTGGGGGCCTTTGCCAGCTCTGAGCTCAGACAGTAATCCTGACAGCTTCACAGTCAGTGCCCTGGGGTCTGTGCCAGCCTGTCCCAATTTCCCTCTGTATCAGAGCCCCACATAAATATGGGACGGAGTGCTGTAAGCAGCACTCTCTGCTCTCCCCAGTGCCTCCTTGGTGCTTTTAAAAAATCAATTATTGACAGCTTTGGGTGCTGTTTGTAAAATGTATATCTGGTTTTTAGTTTGGTTTTTTGTTGAAGACTCAGGAAGCTGTGAATTACTTTGCTGCCTTTCTACCTACCTGTGAGTTTTATGGGTCCACTTCAAGGCTTTTCATAGTATTTCATTGCTGGTCACTCACAGCTCTGCTACTTTTTTTGTGTCACTGCTTATTTGCCTTCCTCATGCCCCTCCTTAGCCAGATGATGTACTGAGGCTGGGGCGCCAGATGTGGAGTGTCTCTGGCTCTGTGAGCAGGCGTGGCAGTGGATTTGCAGCCTGGCTGGCTGTGATGCTGCAGTCCAGCTCTTTATAAGCACTCAAACTACTACTACTACTTCAATGTGCGGAGTTAATCCCAGACGGCAAATAAGCACCATGCAGCCGCTCGCTCGCTCCCCACCACAGTGGGATGGGGGAGAGAATCAGAAGGGTAAAAGTGGGAAAACTCATGGGGTGAGATAAAGACAGTTTAATAAGTAAAGCAAAAGCCACATGTGCAAGCAAAGCAAGGAATTAATTCACTGCTTCCCATGGGCAGGCAGGTGCCCAGCCATCCCCAGGAAAGCAGGGCTCCATCACACGTAATGGTTACTTGGGAAGACAAATGCCATCACTCGGAATGTCTCCCCCTTCCTTCCTCTTCCTCCAGCTTATATACTGAGCATGATGTCAAATGGTCTGGAATAGCCCTTTGGCCAGTTGGGGTCAGCTGTCCCAGCTGTGTCCCCTCCCAGCTTCTTGTGCACCTGGCAGACCTGAGAGCTGAGAAGTCCTTGACTAGTCTAAGCACTACTTAGGAACAACTAAAACATCAGGGTGTTAATCAGTATTCTTCTAGTACTAATTCCAAAACATAGCACTATGCAAGCTACTATGAAGAAAATGAACTCTATCCCAGCCAAAACCAGGACATTCAGTTAAGATGCACGCTTTCATACACAAAAATGTGCAAGCAGGAGTCTTGGGAAAGGAGCCATCAAATAGAAGACCTTGTATTATAAAGAAAGAAGGTGGCTTGGCCCCTCACACTGTCACTTCTAGTTGGCTGCCTTGGATGGGGAGAAGGGAATACACATGGGTTATGATTTCTGCTCCTGCTGCATTTCAGTCTGGAGCCCTCCCACTGAAGTGAGACTGCTGATTGAGAGGTATCATTGCTATATCTCTCTTCTTCAGGTATTAGAAAGATCTTCCAGAGAGCGATCTGGATTGTAGGCAGGTTGAACCTTCTTTGGGTTATTCAGAGAAAACACACTAAAGCTTGGTGCTTCACTTAAACACTTGAAGCTGGGTGGAAGAAATCTGGACCATGTAGATCTTGAGGAGACACCAGATAGCCCCAACTCTGGCTCAGAGCTAGAGTAAGAGTAAATTTTGCCCAGAGCTCACCCAGGTCCCGGCATGTGTCTACTACAAACCTTTGGGTGATCCCCCGTTTCTGACTTGTTCTGCAGCCTCTTGGGAAGCGAGTAGGGCATGTCCCCACAGCTCCATGCCAGAGCTGGCCTCCCACTCCCAGAGCAGACCTCTGTAAGAAAGCCCTGCAACTCCTGATGAAGAGCAAGGAGAGCAGTCCTGTGCTCTGTGTGTGTCCAGAGTGAAAGCTGCTGCTCCCCTATGTCAGCATGATACTTGGAAGCGGCCCTGAGGGAATGATGAGACCGAGATAAGGATAATTATGCATTGTATCAGCAGAGATAGGTTGGATGCATGGGTGGCAGATGCACTAATCTTCCCTTACAAGGTTTTACAAGGGCCTTGTGACTCAAACTTTTTAAGGGCTGCTGGATATTTCTTTCTATCCACTATAAGCCAGCACAATGAGCCGAGCTGTGATGACACAATTCAGCTCTACCTGAATGCCACCGACATGACGACACAGAGCAGGGAAGAATAAATAAACTTTCCAGTTCATTGGTTGTCCTCAGCATCCCGCTACCCTCCTGCCCCCTCCTTGGCAGAGAGATGATGTCAGAGCAGTTAGGACATAACTAGGTCCCAACAAAAGAAAGCCAGCCTTTGTGTCAAGGCATGCCCATCCTTTCTAGCCCCCTTTCAACCTCCTGTGAGTGTTGGGACCAGCCTTTAGCTATCCCGAACTCCAGTGGGTGACTCATTCCCCTGGTATGAATGGGTGCCTTGTACAGGCGTCTGCAGAGATGGTCAGTGTTCAGCCACTGGGGAGAATGTGGGGCTGGGGAGTGAAAGCCTGAGATTGTGTGTTCAGATTAAACCCAGGTCTGCAGATAAAACCCAGCTGTCCGTCCTTCGCAGCTGCTGAATCCCAACGGGGCAAAAGAGGAAGCCTGAGAGTTTGTGTCATTTTACTCCTGCAAAGGGGCTTGGAAATACCTAGTGAAGGAGGGTGCATGGTGGGAGCATTACCCTTGTGCAACAAAAGGCATCCGTGCTGTGTAGGTCAACTTGCTGTGTCTGGGTCTTCACTGTCCTTTTTGCCAGGGACCAGGTTTGATGTCCGGTTACATTTGTAGGGATCTGTTTGCTTCATCCCTTGGGAACAGCTGTTTCTTAAGGTCAAGGGTAAAGCAGAAAATGGGAGAGATTTTGTTTCTTCTCTCCTGGGGAGGCCAGCTCTTACAGGGACTTAGCATGAGGTCCTTGTTGTGTCTGAAACTGGTGTCTCTTCAGCTTTATTTACAGAAAGATGAATTTAGTGGCAGTCTGAATCTGTAAAGAAACTGTTCGTTGCTGACCAGGAGCAAGGCAGGGACTTGTGTCAGGACAGGGGTTCTCCCTGAAAAGCTCCTTTTGACCCTAAGGAGGAAGTGGCTGTATCACCCTCTGTCTTCAGGCCTGCCCAGTGCTTTTAATCTAGGACATATGTTCCTCCTCCTAGGTTTGGCTTCCCTTCCTGTTTGTGTATAGGAACAGTGCTCCCAAACAGTTTTCTATACTGTCCACTTGATTCTCCTTCTGGTAAGCAGTGCACACTCCTTTCCATTTCACTGCCTTTAAGCCCTTCTAAGAAATAGTCATGTTCTTCTCGAAGTCTTCTAAGAGTTCTCTCACTTTGGTTTTGAGATACTGAGCTTCCCCCCCAGGTCCTAGTTCAGCAGAACATAACAGTCGCAGTCCTGAGGGTGAATCAGCACTGAAGTCCATCTGCTTCAGTAGTGCCCTTCAGCCTGTGGTTGAGCCCCGCCAAAGTCACTGGAAACATAAATCTATGGTTTATGCTTATGCTTAGCTGGTCTGCTACATCCTTGGTGAAATGGGCCCTTTGTTGCTTTATTCAGTCATCATTATGACATACATTGCTCCTTAGTAACTTGGTGAAATGCCCTAAACAATATCAAAACAAGCAGAAGTTTCAAATTTTTTTGTATTGATGTCAGAATCAGATGTTTTCTATGATAGCAAGTGTAGTCATCAGGTTATCCAGCAACCATTTTCTTTTGTCCAGTGATCTTATCTCAGTTGCCTGCACTTTTCCATTCTCTACATCCCTCTGGCTCTGTGAGTTAAACTCACACTTGCTGCTGCTTGTCTTCAGTTATCCTGTGGTTTTTGGTTTGTTTGTTTTTTTTTAACCCATGGGATTGTTCCTTTCCTACCCTATTGAGGTCTTACTCCCAGCCCCTGCCTTTGAACACTGCTGCAGGAAAACATCGATGAAGACAGTCATGCATTTTACCAGCTAATGGAAAGCTGGCTCCTGGCATCTCCTTACATTCTATTCTAATGTCCTGCTTTTCCCATTATTTTACAGTACTTCATATTGTTGCTGTGCATCTTCCTCCTTGAGATCATTGCTGGAATCCTGGCCTATATCTACTACCAGCAGGTGAGTGGACTTAAGTCCTTAGAGACTCAAAGCAGGAAGTGAAAACAGCTGGTTATCGTCCCATTTCTCCTGCCAGAATTGAGCTTGAAGGCTTGGGACCTAGGGTCTGGTTCACCTTTCCACATGTCTGTACCCACTGCTCTCCCCATACAGAAGACCTTGGATTATTTACTGGTTTTGACAAAGTGGTGGTGGTTACTCTAAGGGAGGCTGCTCAGCCTTGCTGCTCGGCTCTTCCCTGTGGTTCATCTTTGTGCGCTGTTTTTCTGCAGAGCCTTGCAGAAGACAATTTTTGAGGCTGTGTAGATCTAGGAACTTTCCCAACACCCATCAAGGCATAGTGCAAGCAACTGAAATCACATTAGTGCCACTTAGTATATTCAGGACACAGGAACAGTTCCTGCTGCATCCAGCAAGCTAGTTGCCATACTTTTGAACTGGCAAGGATAACAAATGGTCCAGCTGAGAGGTCTTTTGAGGTCAAGAAGTTTTTGAGAGCTTTACTTAACCAGCCCAGCTGAGGGGCTGGAGAACAGCACAGGCTCCCAACAGCTGCAGTTCTAGCTTGGCATTTTTTGCAGTTGCAGAGAGCAGAGGCTTAAGTCATCGCTTGGTTTTCAAAGGGAGTTTAACCACCAAGGCACAAAACAGCCTGCGAAGTTGCTCTCATGTCTGGGAATTGATTGGAAATGGCAGATTAGGATTGTTGTCAAGTGGCTGTCTGAAAAGCAGCTGGGCGTCCCATCTTGTTGGCTTCACTGCCAGGATTCCTTGCCGTTCCTTTTTCTCTTGAGCCTTCTGTGCTTTGCCTCACTAAGATGGGCACTGGTGGTTTGTGAGGAGCCAAAGAACTGTGCTGGCTCCTGCCAGGAGGGATCAGTGGTGTGAGTGTGCATATTTAACAGGGAAAGATCAATCGTGGCAGGCATGGCAGGAAGCCAGGGTCCCTCCCTCCATCCCTGCAAAGGCATGAGGTTCATACATGACAATGGATGAACTGATCCTTAGGTTGAAATAAGGGACAGCATATTCAGAGCTGTACCCTTGAGTGCTTTGGATCACTTGAGGGCGCCTCTGATCAGTAGCTGCACTTCCCCTTGTCCTCTGGCTGACAAATCCCCCTTCTTTCCTGGTTGCAGGCTGCTTGCTCTGTTTGCCACTGCTTTTATTTCAGCCCTTGCTTTGGTGTCTTAAGGCTTGCGAGTGCTGTGTCTAAACTGTTTCTTTTGTTATCTCTATTCCATGCTGCAGTTCTTCCCCGTGAGCCCGCAGGTAACTGCTTTTCTCCCAAGTAATAATTCTGCTAATGGACTCTCCTCTTTATTTGCCT